GAACACGGGGAATGTCTTCGAGGGGTGCTGGGGAATAGCATCCCAGCCATGGAAACCCTCTTCAGTTTTCATTTCTCTCCCTTTACTTGGCTTCTATGAGGAAAGTCCTCCTGTGAAAGGGAAATGGATGCTAAGACCGGCTACACATCCCTTTCTTCCTCCTACCACACAAAACAGAACTTCAAGCACTTCTTCCTTTCTCGGTTCTTTGAGCCTGTGCTGGCCTCTCCGGAAGGGGAAGGCCCCGTGCTGGGAGGTGTGTGCAGGGGTGAGAAGAGAGCAGGGGCGCTGGTAAGCAGTGGGAACTAAGACTGAGACCTGGGTGCTGTGAATGGACAGCAAGCCTGCGGGCCTTATAACACCCTTCCCTCTGCCTCGGTCCTGGGAAGACCTGGAAATCCGTGGCCCTCGTTTAGGACACGGGAAAACTGAGGGTAAGAGAAGACAACACTAGCTTGACAGCTGCCCAAGGAGAAAGCCCACGTCGCCTGCTGCCCCTGGGAATCACTCGGGCGTGGGTCTGTCCAGAGCCGGCTCCTTGGTGAAGGCGCATCTCATCACAGGCTTCCCAACCTGGGCCTCTCACTGCTAGCTGCGGCCTGTGGCCGCCGTGGTTCCGGAGTCCCCTGCTGCCAGCTCGTTCTCTGGTCTGTGGTTCTGCCCAGGCTGTTGGCTCCTGTCTCTCCTAAGAGAGAAAGTCTGTTCTTGGAAGAGGAGTGAGGGTGTGACAAGCCCCCAAGGAGCCCAGGTCCCAAAGATGTGGCTTCTGACCTTGCGCACTGGCTACTACTGGAGTGTTTAGAATACGGATAATCATCGCTGAGTTTATTGAACATGTACCGTGTGTGGGTATTGTACCTCTTAGAGTAAGACTATTATTATTATCCTTTTATAGGTGAGGAAAGTGTAGCACAGAGAGGCTGAGTAACTTGCCTAAGGTCACAGAGGGAAACAGTGGTGAGATCAGGATTTGAACTCAGGCAGTCTGGCTTTACTATATTCTACTTGGACTGCTGCAGTGCAAGGCGGGGCTGGCAGCCCAGTGGGCTCAGGAAGGGGAGAATTGCTAAGGGTAAGAGTTGGTTTGATTTCGTAAGAAAATGGATTTTCTCTACTTGTGATTTTCTGAAATGCCTGGGGCTTAGCGCGTTTTTAATAACCATTTGGTAGCATAGAAATGGGAAATGGGAAGTTCCAAGGTTCTCATGGAATTCTCACCCTGGCTGGCAGAGGTGAGAAGGGTATTTGGGGTTTGCTCAGAGCTCATGGGCAGTAATTGCCCTTTTTTCTTTGCTAAGAACTTTTTTTTCTTTTTATATATTTATTTATTTATGTATTTGGCTGCACCGGGTCTTAGTTGTGGCACATGGGATCTTTAGTTGCAGCATGTGGGATCTACTTACCTGACCAGGGATCGAACCCGGGCCCCCTGCATTGGGAGCGTGGAGTCTTAACCACGGAGCCGCCAGGGAAGTCCCACTGAGAACTTTGCTAGAAGCAGATTCCTATGAGAATTCTGTCTTGGAATCTCCTATTTTCAGAATTTGCTTATTCTGTCCAGGCTTAGCAACAGAACCTTTAGAACCCTTGTGATAGTTGGCTAACCGGTCAGAATCTTGGATCCTCTGTCTCTCTGAGTTAGTTGGTGATGATGGTGAAAAGATGGAGAAGAAGATGGTGCTAATCACTGCTACCCATCACTAAATACGAGGACTTCAATGTATCCTCTTTCTCTATCCTCACAGCAGCTATACGCGAACAACGCCTAGTTTACAGATGACCACACTGAGGTTCAGAGGGCTTGCGTAATGGCCCAAAGGCAGAGGCGCAGCAGGAGTTCAAACCTAGATCTGTGCACCTTCAAAGCTCATAGCCTTAACCTCAAAGCCGTTGTACAGTTGTATTCCAAGGGCAGGGTGATTGATGCACGTCCCCAGCCAAATCCTAGAACCCATCGTCCAACGGAGTGCTGAGAACCAGGTGCCAGCACGGATCCACTAGAGACCTCTCACGCCAGACTCGTCCGCTTTCTCCTCTTGATGAGGTCACTCACCTGATAGACCAGGAGACTGGCTGGAGATGGGATTTCAACAGGCTTTGAAAAACGTAGCTTTGTTTTCACTACACACACGATTAAAAATCATAAGGGGACTCATCAGGTTGTTTACGTTTTGCATGACTCTTTCCAGTCTTTGCCACACGCTTGGGTTTTATCTAGTGTGTTGCTGTACACGTACTGTTTATGTTCTGGAAGGCATATCAGCCTCCTATCTGCTGGTCACGCTGGAGGGCCAGCGGCTGGAGGAGAGTCTGGTCTGGAGGGGGGTGTCTGGCTGAGCAGCTGGGCCTACGAGGGTCCCCTCGTGCATCCAAGGCCTTTGGGGCGGTGGCCTTGGGGCTGCCCCTGATTCCCTCCATTGTCATTTCTTTTTTTATAAATTAATTAATTTTATTCATTTATTTTTGGCTGCGTTAGGTCTTCGTCGCTGTGCGGGGCTTTCTCTAGTTGCGGCGAGCGGGGGCTACTCTTCATTGTGGTGCGCGGGCTTCTCATTGCGGTGGCTTCTCTTGTTGCGGAGCACGGGCTCTAGGTATGTGGGCTTCAGTAGTTGTGGCACATAGGCTCAGTAGTTGTGGCTCACGGGCTCTAGAGCACAGGCTCAGCAGTTGTGGCGCATGGGCTTAGTTGCTCTGCGGCATGTGGGATTTTCCAGGACCAGGGCTCGAACCCATGTCCCCTGCATTGGCAGGCGGGTTCTTAACCACTGCGCCACCAGGGAAGCCCTGTGTCATTTCTTATCTAGTAACAACTCTGATGAAGTCTTGGAGGTTGCTCCTCAGCTCTGTCGATGATACCCTAGTGGGAGGGAAAGGCCGATACCTAGGATGATTTAATCATGAGTCAGAAGGACCTAGGCTGCCTGCAGGAGAGGCTGCTGAGAATAGTACTGTGTCCGGCTGCCTTACGGGTAAGAGCACCACCCCGACAGCAGACGCAAAACCTCCACCCTCCCACAGCTGAGACGTGAGGGGCCTGAGGAGTGAACAGCACCACAGCAGATCCAGAAGTTTGAGTTGACGAAGCCAGGCATGTAATGTGGCTCCCTAAAATGTAAAGTAAAAAATTTCCCCCCCCCCGATGTTTTTATTTGTTTATACAATTTATTTTGGCTGCACCCACGAGGCATGCAGGATCTTAGTTCCCGGACCAGGGATTGAACCCAGGCCCTCAGCAATGAAAACGTGGAGTCCTACGCACTGGACCGCCAGGGAATTCCCTAGAGAGGCATTTTAATAACTTGGTATTTCCTATGCATATTTTCTAAAAAAAGTTGCTTTCTTTTTTCTGATCATTAAAGTTAGGAAAGGACTTTTTAAAGTTGAGCAATACAGAAATACACACAGTGAAATTCCTCTGAAATTCTCTTCCCCAGGTTTTATAACCCCTATAAATAGTTTGGTTTCTGTTATCCCACAGTCTTCTATTTCCCCAAATGGAATCATGATGTCATTCCTATTCTGCAGCTAAAGACATGGTTGTAATGAATTAATTCATCACACGTTTATTACAAATCTTAACCCATGCTAAGATTGTGGAGCAAGACACAGCCCCCTCTCCGCTCCCCCGTCCTTAAGGAGCAGATGGTTGACTTTGAGAGACTGAGAGACTGGGATGCGGGTATGTTTGGGGTGATAGGGAAACTGGAGGCTGTCACCCCAGTAAAATGGTGGGGCAGGGGCTTTCCTTGGGAGCATCTCAGAGGAGACACCTAAGCTGAGTCTGGAAGGGTGGGAAGTGCCCAACAATTTGACTTTTTTTTTTTCATTTAACATTGTATTTTAGAGAGTTTTTCCATGTTACTTCCTACTCTTTGAAAAACTGCTCTTGCTGTGTAAACTCTCATCAGGTGGATCTGTCATTCTGTATTATTATTATTTTATTTGTATTATTTGTGTGTGCTAATTGACTGTGTTATTGGACAATTAATGGAAACAGCGCGATGAGGATAAGGGAAGAGATTGACGGGCAGCCCTCATGGGGCCCTTGCTGGTCAGGCCCCGTTTGGATTATGCTGTTGAATTCTGGGTTCCACATCTTAACGGGAATGTTGCTGCTGTGCAGATGGCCAGAGGTTCAGAAAACACTTTGAACTGTTGTTCAGCATTTTAGCCAGAGAAAGAGCAGACCCAGAAGAGTATTTCAGGAGCTTCCCTGAGCTGGAGGAATTAGGCTGGTTCTATTGCAGTGCTAATGTGCAGGGCTATTGTGATGCCGATCGCCCTCGGGGGAAGGGAGAACTTTGTAACGCCGGCCCTAACTGAAAATACTCTTTGCCCCAGAAAGGGTGGCCCTGGGAGGACGGGAGATGCAATGATGTCTAAACTGTTTCAGCTCTAAGAATCCGATTCCAAGGACACAGTTCTCTCCTCTCTCCCGTCGTTTGACTTCTGTGCACAGGTTGTAATTGTGGACTGGGGCCTCCAGGTGCCCTCCCCTGGCGACAAAGGGGCTTTCTTGTTTGCATATTCAGTGCTTTCTCCCAAACAGCTAGATTTGTAGCTGAGTGAACATTCCTGGGAGCTACTGAAAAGGTGGAAGAGGCGTTTCTGAATGTAGTCAATTCCTGGAGGCTGGTGTGCTTGGGGGTGTTTCCACTAACTTCTGCAGATCCCTGGGTCCAGCAAGGCAGCTGTTAAAAAAGGCTAAAAGGTACTGCGGAATACCACTCAGAAATAAAAAGGAGCAAAGCATTGATGCATGGTGCTCCAGGGAATCTTGCTGAGTGAAAAAAGCCAGCAGTCCCCAAAGATTCTATACTGGATGATCCATTTATATAACATTAAAAAAAATAAATTTATTTATTTATTTATTTTTGGCTGAATTGGGTCTTCGAGGCTGCACGCGGGCTTTCTCTGGTTGCAGCGAGCGGGGGCTACTCTTCATTGCTGTGCGTGGGCTTCTCATTGCGGTGGCTTCTCTCGTTGCGGAGCACGGGCTCTAGAGCGCAGGCTCAGTAGTTGTGGAGCGCGGGCTTAGTTGCTCCGCGGCATGTGGGATCTTCCCGGACGAGGGATTATCTAACATTTTTGAAAGGACGGTTTTAGGCTAGTGGCTGGGGGGCAGAAGGGAAGTGGGTATGGTTGCAGAAGGGCAGTGGGAGGGATCCTTGCGTTGGAACTGTTCAGAATCTTGACACTTGGTAGTTACAGGAACATACACCAGTGATTAAATCGTATGGAACTTAATAGTTACACACAAAAGAGTACAAGTAGAATGGGAACTCTGAACCAGATCTGTGGGTTATATCAACATTGTGGTGTTATAATGTCGTCTTACGAGATGTTACCACTGAGGGAAACTGGGCAAAGTGTACAAGGGATCTTGGTATTATTTCTTACAACTGCACTTGGATTTACAGTGATCTCAACAAAAATGTCAATAGCTAGAAAAAGCACTAGCCCATGAAATCGGAATGTGGGCTCGGTGAAAAGTCAAGAAGAAGGATGGAAAGGAGTTACACGGCGGCGCTGCCTTTATCTCTGTCTTGTTTAGTTTCTTTCTTGTTTAGTTTCTTGTTTCTTAGTTTCTTAGTCTTGTTTCTTGGTTCTTTGTTTAGTTTCTTTCTGGTTTAGCTTCTGGGGGAAGCTGCCTGGTTGTGCCCCTGCGGGCAGATACTTCTGCTCCCGGTCAGGTGACTGGAGCGGGAGAAAGGTGGGCGTGGCTGCCCCAGGAAGATGGTCTCTGGCCAGAAAGGACAGGGCAGGTGCAAAGTTTGTGGGATCAAAGAGACTGGCTGGGTTTGGGGGTGCTGCTCTGTTACACAATCTTGGAGCCCATCTGAGATGGAATTCTCTGGTTGGAATTACAAAAGAGGTTGTGCCCTGGGGGAGCATTGAACTGAGGGCTGGGAGAGGGTGAGACCGGGAGGGCCTAAACTTGGATCTGCCTTGGTATCGGTATCAGGTATAGCAGGTGGCCGGGCTGGCTGACACCAGAGAGCTTGGGGGGCTATCAGCAGATCGCTGGGGTGTGGACTGAGCATTCTCTCCCCTTCTAGGGGTGGACACCGGTCTGGAAAGTTGCCTGGGTCCTGGCACCTGCCTTGGGTAGGCTACGTAATTCTGGCTAGGAAGAGAGAAGTCCTTCCTCCCATCAATCAGTCAGGTTCTAACCCTGCGCAAGGTCAAGGGAAGGGGGTATGGGGTAGAGAAGCAGTACAAAGAGGAAAGTGGGGCAGCCTGACTTCCTAGGACTGCCTGTCTGCCCTCTGTGGCTGGGGGCTATCATTGATGCCAAGGGTCTGAGGGAGGTGAGGTCCCAGCGAGAAAGACTGTGGACCAGGGTGGTCCTTGGGCACTTCCTAGAGGGGCTCGGCCCTGGGCTGTGTCCTCAGGGACAGGCTGGGCTTGGGAGGTGGTGACAGGAGCAGAGCCTTTCAGAGTGGCAGGATGGTGCCTGCTTCCTTACAGCCTTGGGGGCCTCCTGGCTGGGGTCAAGGTTAGCACCCCCAGACCAGTGTTGAAGGGGTGGAAATCCACCAACTCCAACCCCTCATAAAAGAAAGAAGAGGCTTGTATCCACGGAGTCCAGTTGCAGGTGGTGTGGTACCAGTGCCACAGTGGTATGGGCGGGGGCGGGGGGTGGCCCTGGGCAGTGCCAGGTATCGGGAGGGGACACGGACATGAAACCTGCAGGAGCTTGACGCTGGCTGGCAGAGAACCACCCGGTCCCGGGCCAAGAGTGCCCGCGTTGGCTGAGTCAGCCCCCTGGGACTCTCCGTCCTGCTCTGACCAGGTGTGCAGTTTTGGGTTATTTAGTTTCATTCAGTGGGAGCTGTTGGCTCTCGGTCAGCTTTCTGTTCTCCTTAGACTCACAGATCTGCAGGTAATTCTGGATCCTCCTTAAGGCCCCACAGCCTCACCCATTTTCCGGCAGGTCCTTCTTCAGGTGGGGCAGCTGAGGACAGTGACGAGGTTGAAGGGGAAGGGTGAGAGGGTCAAGCAACGAGAAGGCAGAGGGTTTGGGGAGTCCATCACCAGCTGACCGGCCTTGGCTGGCAGTGTGCGTCTGCAGAAATCCACTGGCAGCCTCCGGGGCTTCTAGATGGTGCTAATAACCTATCGTGGGGAGATCCTGGGCGCAGAAGCCAAGTCCAGCCCCTTGCGCAGGTACCTCGCATCCCAGGCGGTTGCTTAAAATAGGCTGACTGAAACTGACACGACCCAGCTGGCTCCTCTCGCTGTGGTGGGCGGTGGGTGAGCCGGGCCAGCAGCCTCCTGGGAATGGTAGGCGGCAGTGTATTCTCACAGGCTGGTTCCCAAGAATGACCTGGGACGCAGGTTAGACGTGCGGACCCCAGGGCCCTGCTCCTGCCCTGCTGCATTAGGATCTCCCGGGAGAGGGGCCGGGGAATGTGGATGCGGAGCAAGCGCTGTGCTTCTTTTATTGATTTTTTATCGTTATTTTTCATGGCTAGGCAAGTGTGGAGTATGCTGGGCTGGTGCCGTCAACGGGAGCTTCCTGTTTCTTGAGAATCTGGCTTCTTGTGGGATCAGATGCCCCGGGCTGGTGAGCGGGTGGATTCCGACATGGGTTTCTTTTCCCTTCTCCTTTGTTGCTTCGATCGTCCTGTGATGAGCATATCAAGTGTCCCTTCTGTGCCCATCATTTTGCTGGGCCAGGACTGCAGTGGCCACAGGCTAGGTGAAGTCCCCACCCTTGGGAACCTGCATATTGGCCGCACGCTGCCCACAGCCTCTTGGATTTTTTGTGGGTGCTGACTTAACTGGAGAGAGTCCATCAAAGTACAGGGTCCCTTCATAGCCAGCAGCTTGAAGAAGGGGCCTTTCTCCAGTTTCACCCCTGGTATCTCAGTGCTACGTGTTGTACTGTTCTCAGCATCTCCCAGGATGACAAATGCAGTGTTAAGTTTTGGAATACACTCCTTGCTCTGTCGTCTCCGGTGGCCTTGAGCCCATGCTGAGTTTCTGGGGACCCTGGCCAGGATCTGATTGGAACTGGCATTGGGGAGCGGCCACGAGAGTCACGCCGGCTTTGTCTTTCCTCTTGGAAAGAAAAGCATCTTCGCAGTGCCATGGAATTGGCCCTCACCTTGGAAACCCGCTGCAGGTGCTGAGACTGTGCTTTCTTGCTGGAACCATCTCAGGGGTATTTTATGGTCCTCACGACCACGGTGGCGGGATGACATCATCATGGAATTGAAATCCATCCCAGCTGGTGGTGGGTACACCGAGTCACGGAACTGGTGAGCGAAGAGCGCCTGCCACCAGTCCACGGCAGAGTTGGGAGTGGCACATGAAGCCAGCCACCCTCGTCTTCGTCTCAGGTCGGTGTCTCCAGCCAGTGACATCACCTCTGCCCCTTGACCTTGATCCTCAGCTGCAGAAGCACATCACCAGACGTCACGTGAGGGCCTTTCGGGGCCCCTCCCAGGACTCTCGGCCACCTCTTCAGTCTTCAGCTTCATCCCCTGCCTTCCCGGCAAATCACACCCAACCTTGGCCAAATGAGGAACAGTCTTTAAAAGGAGAGCCTGGCATGAAGATTTATTTCTTCTCCCTCTGCTTCGACTGAAATCTCGTGCAGATTTTTATATCGTTAGTATTGTTTTTGCTATTTATAAACGTGAACCCTTACCAGTAGCTTTTCTCCCATGAGGACCGCACTGAGCTGCCAATGCCACCTTCCGGCTTTGGATCTGCGGGTCCCCGGAGCCGGTGGGAGAGCGGGCCCTGGTGAGCGAGTGGCCGGCCGTCAGTGTGCGCTTGGGGAGCCAGGTAAAGGGTCCTCGCCAGCATGAGGGTTCTGTGGTTGACTTGGACACAGTTTTGCTTGCTAAGCATTTAGCTTTCAGCCCTGGTGAGTTTCGTACCTAACAGGAGTAGGGTGACCACAAAGGTCTTTCCTATAGCATCAGATAAAATATGCCTTTTCCTTTTTACCTTCTATAAATTAGTGTTTTGGACAACCACTGACCTTGGGGAGGATATGCATCATTTGCACTAGTGTGCTTAAACCAGCAGAAAGTATGATATTTTCCGGGGCTTCTCTGTCTCCCCTCCTGGATTTTTGGGTGGTGCTCCCTCTATCCCTCCAGGAAGTTGGGTGGGGATGGTGGTGATCTGATTTGCCCCTGCACCCCACCCCTTGGGTTCTCCCCCTTTGTCCCTTTGGGGCTTCACTCTGTGTGCACCCCTGATGTCTGTCTGTCCTCCAGGAAGTCATCCCTTGCTCTCTTGTCTGAGCTGGCCTTGAGCCAAGATCTAACTCGAGCTGGCCGGGGAGAAGAGGCCATGAGAGTTGCATGGCCTCTGTTTGTGGTAGGCCAGCACCTGCTTTACAACACTGTGTTTTGTATGTGCACCTGTAAATGTGTTTACTTTTACGAAAGACAGGACAGGCAGAGGCAGGCACCGGCATCCTCCCTCTTCTGTTGGCTCTGCAGTCTGTAGAGAGATGGTTATGTATAGGGAGAAGGTTATGTTTTCAGTTAAGCCCGAACGGATGGGAGCTCCCTGCCACTTGCTCCCGGGGGCCACCCAATCCCGGGCATCCGTGAAACCCCGGCGAGGGTTGGTGTGGCTTGTCCCGCTTTGCTGCTTTACTGGCTTCACTCCCTTTGTGACTTTGGACAGGTCACTCCCTGTCTCTCAGCCTCAGTTTCCTTATCAGTGAAAGGACTGGGTTAGGCAAGATGATCTCTAATATGTCTGAAAGTGGGGCCAAGAGTAGGGTAATAAAAGGAAGTCGTCTAGTTACTGATTAAACAGCATTTCTGGGCTGAGTGGAGCCTGGTATTCACAGTGCAGGGACGACCAGGGCCCTGCCTATGAGGCAGCGCCATGGCTGACAACTTGCTCCACGGCCAGGCTGGGGTGGCCCTTGGGCTCCGCTGTCCATGCTGTTGGCCACCTTCCCCTTCCCAGGGAGTTTGCTTTCCCATATCCCAGAATACTTGCTCCCTGAGTTCTGGAAACTGACCACAGGGAGGTAGAAAATCAGGATCAAATCTGCAGCTGCCACCCAGTGACTGTGTGGTCTTGCAAGGTCACCATTTCTCCCTGCCTTTCTGTAGAACGGCAGTGAGGGCACCAGTCACGCATGATTCCAGGATTGTTGTGAGGCTTGGGTAGGAAAACAGTTGTGAAATTACCCTGTACATTGAAAATAAACATATGAAACTATTATGTTACATTTCTTCCAACACATATAAACATAGACAAACAGGGACTTGAGAGTCTGCCTGCCAATGCAGGGGACACGGGTTCGAGCCCTGGTCCGGGAAGATCCCACATGCCACGGAGCAGCTAAGCCCGTGCGCCACAACTACTGAGCCTGCGCTCTAGAGCTGCGAGCTACAACTACTGAAGCCCGTGTGCCTAGAGCCCGTGCTCCGCAACAAGAGAAGCCACCACAGTGAGAAGCCCGTGCACCGCAACGAAGAGTAGCCCCCTCTCACCGCAACTAAAGAAAGCCCGCGCGCAGCAATGAAGACCCAATGCAGACAAAAATTAATAAGTAAATAAATAAATAAAACATTTGTTGCCTTTTCAGTAAATCTCGAGATCCGGTGATGTAAGTCCTCCAGTTTTGTTCTTTTTCAGGGCTTGTTGCATTTCTATGTGAATTTCAGAAGCAGCTCATCAGTTTCTAGGAAGAGCCTGCTGAGGTTTTGATCAAGATTGTATTGACTCTGTAGGCAAATCTGAGGAGAACAGACATCTGAACTCTCTTGAGTCTTCCAGTCCATGAACACAGGCTATTGCTTGATTCATTTCTGTCTTTTAAATTTCCTCTTACCAACGTTTTGTAGTTTTCAGCATACAGGTGTTTTGCATCTTTTGTCAGATTTTCCCAAAAGTATTTCATATTGTTGATGTTATTGTAAGGGGTGCATGTATCTTTTCAAATGATGGTTTTCTCCAGATATATGCCTAGGAGTGGGATTGCTGGGTCATATGGCAGCTCTATTTTTAGTTTTTTAAGGAACCTCCATACTGTTCTCCATAGTGGTTGCACCAATTTACATTCCCACCAACAGTGTAGGAGGGTTCCCTTTTCTCCACATCCTCTCCAGGATTTATTATTTGTAGACATTTTGATGATGGCCATTCTGCCTGGTGTGAGGTGATACCTCGTTGTAGTTTTTTTTTTTTTTTTTTTTGCGGTACGCGGGCCACTCACTGTTGTGGCCTCTCCCGTTGCGGAGCACAGGCTCTGGACGCGCAGGCTCAGCGGCCATGGCTCACGGGCCCAGCCGCTCCGCGGCATGTGGGATCTTCCCGGACCGGGGCACGAACCCGTGTCCCCTGCATCGGCAGGCGGACTCCCAACCACTGCGCCACCAGGGAAGCCCTATTTGTAGACATTTTGATGATGGCTATTCTGACTGAGGTGATACCTCATTGTAGTTTTGATTTGAATTTCTCTAATAATTATTGATGTTGAGCATCTTTTTGTGTGCCTGTTGTCCATCTGTGTGTCTTCTTTGTATATTTTGGAAATTAAGCCCTTGTCAGTCACGTTATTTGCAATAGATGATGTACTTTTAAGCTTTGGGGTTCTGAAATTTCAACATGATGTCTTTTGTTACGTGTGCTTTTTCATTCATCTTTCTCACCATTCAGCGAACCCTTTCAATCTGAAGAGACGTACCTCTCTTTGGTGCTTGGAAGTATTCTTCTAGCATTTCTCTGAGTACATCCTCTGCCAGACTCAGGAACTGGGCTCAGGTATTTATGGAAGATAGAGATGAGACAGGGAAGGGCATTGTTAGAAACCCCCAGAGCCCCACCTCCATCCCAAACAAAACTACTCCTACCCATGAGTCCCCCATAAGGGATGGGAAATCAGTTTCTCCAGACTTGAGGACAGCAGGTGCCAGAGGCTGGAGTGAAGGGGAAAACAGTCTCTTCTCTCCCATGTTCTGAATGGTAGTGGCTGGGGTTAAATCACCCCACCCAGAAGATTAGAAAACTATTCTCTGCAGTAACTAAGCTATCCCGTAGAAAAGGTCTACACAGCCTAGCAGTTGGGAGTGCCCAGAAAAATATCTGGCTAGCCGCTGAATTGTGGCCCAAAGTGAAGCCACCTGTGGACAAGCCATGCCCACAGAGCTTCTGAACAACCTTTAGGACTTCATTCCTAAATATGGGTAAACAGCCACACATCCTCAAGCATTTGAGGAAAGCCTTCAACATGGAAGAGAAAGTCAACAACAGAGAAAAGTTACTCAATAGAAACATCAGGATGAGAAGACTTTGCCTCCAAAATTCATAAAATAAGAGAGAACTCTTGGAAATGAAAGTTTTGATAGCAGAAATGAAAAACTCAATAGAAAGATTACAAAACAAGATGGATAAGTAAAGCAGAGGATCAGTATAATAGAACTTACAGAAAGAGAAAGAGAAAATGCAGGGGAGGACATAATCTACAAAATAATACAAGAAAGTTCCCCAGACTGAAAGATACGAGTTTCCAAATTCAAAGGGCAGGTGGAGAGCTCAGTGTAGTGAAATTTAAAGACCGAATTCAAAGCATTTACTCAAGACTTTCAGAGGAAGATAACAAATCATGAATAGAAAATAATGGATTTGTACTATTATCATATTTCTCCAAAGCACAACTAGAAGCTGGAAAACATTGAAGCCTTCAAAATTCTAAGTGCAAATTATTTGAAACTTATAGTCCTATACCCAGCCAAACCCAGAATTAAGGTCCTTCTAAACATGTGAAGTCACAAGAAACGTGCCTCTCTGGAAACTACTGAAGTATGTGTTCCACCCAAATGAAGTAAACCAAGAGAGATGAGACATGGAATCCAGGAAATAGGGGTTTTAACACAAGAGGGAGTTGGGAGTTCCCCACAGGTCCAGTGGTTAGGACTCGGTGCTTCCACTGCCATGGCCCCGAGTTCAATCCCTGGTCAGGGAACTAAGATCCTGCAAGCTGTGCAGTGCAGCCAAAAAGACAAAAACAAAACAAAACAACGACAAACCATACACACAAGAGGGAGTTGAAGGAACTTCCCAGGATGATGGTGGAGGAAGTTCCAGACAGCACTGACGGGAAAGGACAGAGTGCCCCCAGGAGGAAAATGAAACGAGAAGTTCTTCGACAGGCTTTATATGTGGAAGATTAGAAGAACATTACAGTGCTCTTAGATTGTGTGGAATGACTTGGGTGTATGTTAAAAAGAAATCCAAGTAAATGAAGGTTCACAGCAGGAAAAACAACTCAGTTGTAGTGAGAAGCAAACAATAGTGAACAGTGTTTTCAAAGGCTAATAATGAAAACATACAATATGGATATAATTTGTTTTAAACTTTAGCCCCATAACTATTGGGAGGATGGGTGAGAGACAGAGAAGGAAGGACATTGAAATCCACCCTATCATAATAGGAAATCAGCTGATTATATTTTATATAGATGAATCAAGTTACTGGTATTGGCATATTATTTAGAAATATGGAGACAAATTCCAGAACAAGCAGCTTGGAAACATTTTAAGTGCCTCTGGGCTGTGTTTTTTATTTTCTTTTAAAAAATTTATTTCTTTTTGAGATGTAATTGACATAATAAGATGTACACCGTGTTGATTTGATACATTTATATATTGTAATATGATTACCATGGTAGGGTTAGCTATGGGATGTATTTCTGTGTTTGATATTAGATAAAGTCACAAATATAACCAATTAGGAAACTAAAGTTAGAGAAGCGAATATCCAGATGGGGCAGGAGTGGGGAGAATCTTCCACAACAGTGAGTAAATAGGTAATGTTTGAATGTGACAAATCATGAAATGGCAGTTCAAGGCCATCATTTACAGTTATGAGCTTAATACCAAAACAGCCACATCTGTAAACTTAAAAATGGCCACATCTGTGGAATTTGGGGTGGGGCTACTGCTTTTATTACACACCCTGTTGGAGTAGGTATGAGGCAGTTAACTCTAAAAGGGCCCAGCCCGGGACTTCCCTGGTGGCGCAGTGGTTAAGAATCCGCCTGCCAATGCAGGGGACACGGGTTCGAGCCTTGGTCCGAGAAGATCCCACATGCTGTGGAGCAGCTAAGCCCGTGCGCCACAACTACTGAGCCTGCGCTCTAGAGCCCACGAGCCACGACTACTGAGCCCGTGTGACACAACTACTGAAGCCCGTGCGCCTAGAGCCTGTGCTCCGCAACAAGGGAAGCCACTGCAGTGAGAAGCCCGTGCACCTCAACGAAGAGTGGCCCCAAGCTCGCGCGCAGCAACAAAGACCCAACACAGCAAAAAAATAAAATCAATAAAATTAAAAAAAAAATAATCATAAATGAATAAAAGGGCACAGCCCCTCCCCGGGTTTAGGGCAGCAGATAGAGTGGGTGCGGGAGGGTGGAAAAGTTGCCTACCTGTCACCGCGTGCCGCAGACACCTCACCTGCCCGCCCGTACTCATGCCCCCCTCTTCCTGGAGACCCCCCCGCCATCCTGTTTGTTGAAAGTTTTGTTTGTTTTTCACGCTCTCGGGTCTGAGCCTGGGTGTGGATTCCAGTAGAGCCCTGGCCTTCTCAGCCCACCTTGGGGTCCTGGACTGGGAGCCTTCAGGCTCAGGGCAGAGTGGCTTGTCCTGCAGTGGCACGGCAGAGCTGCCCAGTTTACTGACGTCTTTCTTTTGGCCGGTTAAACATTGGTGGAGCAAGGGTTAGGGTCAGGGCATACAGCGCAGCTTGCCCGAGGCAATCCTGGCCCTGCGCTGGGCCCTCTGTCCCCACATCTGTGCATCCTCCTGTGTCAAAGATGATTCATGTAGCTGACAGCCTCAACGACTGGGGTCAGGTGGGCTGTTTGTTTCCCTTTTATTTAAACTCACAGTTCTTAAGCAGCACGTGCCTGGGGATGCGTGGAGGGGAGGCCACTGCTCCTTCCTCCTGGCTTTTCCTTCCTGGGTGGACCTGACAGCTTGGAGAGGTTCTGCCTGAGGCCGGGGGTTCTGACCGGCAGTGCACTGATTTCTCTGTTCAGAACATGAATGGCTTTGAGGAAGGCGTGGAGTTCCTGCCGGCCAACAACGCCAGGAAGGTGGAGAAGGGCGGCCCGCGGCGGTGGGTGGTGCCCGTAGCCGTGCTGGCTGGCCTCCTGGTGCTGTCCCTCATGGCGGGGCTCCTGGCGTGGCACTTCCAGTGTGAGTGGACCCTCCTCCAGGGGCCCACCCGGGGCCGCCTGCTGTGAGCGGGAGGGAGGGAGGGTGCGGTTTGGGGGGAGGGAAAGGAGGGCTCCTCCCACGGGGAGGTGGTGGGGCTCAGGGTCTGCTCCCCCGGGGTGGCTGAGGGCAGCTGTGACAGTGGGGGGACAGGAGGGCGTGTGTCCCTTCCTCTGACCGCCGTCTTTCACTGTTCTCTCACAGACCGGAACGTGCGGGTTCAGAAGGTCTTCAATGGCTACCTGAGGATCACGAACGAGAACTTCCTGGATGCCTATGAGAACTCCAGCTCCACTGAGTTTGCAAACCTGGCCAAGAAGGTGAAGGAAGCGGTGAGTCCCGTCCCTGGGCAGAGCCCAGGCCCTGCTGTCGTCTCTGGCACGCGCACCCTCGCCCAGCAGAAAGGAGGCTCCCCTCTGCTCCCAGATGCCTGGGCTGGAGTGCGATGTGGGCTCCCGGGCACCTGGGAAGGGGCCCCGGGCCCCAGGAGGGAGGGAGCGGCCTGGGTGGGGGCCCGGGGTCATGGGCGCTCTCTGGACCCCCATCAGCCTCCTCTCCTTCCCTCAGCTGAAGCTCTTATACAGCGGGATCCCTGTCCTGGGCCCCTACTACAGGAAGTCAGCTGTGACCGCCTTCAGGTGGGTGCTGGAAGGCCGGCGGAAAGGCGCTGCTGTGGTGCAACGTCTGGGCCCTGCGGAGTGATGCGGCCGCGAGGTCCTGCCTAGAGAGCCAAGGCCCCAGTCCTTGTCCTGACTTTATCTCTAAAGTACTTTTGCTTTTGCTAGTCTGACTGAATCCCTAGGGGTGCTGTGTGGCAGGTGGCATTGTCAGCCCCTTTCAAGCTCAGGAAGCAGGCTCCAGAAGCTGCGGCTCAGTGCGCCCAAGCTAGAGGCAGAACCCAGACTCCATTCCAGGATTTTTCCCGCTCGTGAGCCTGAGCTGCACTGCCCCCCGCAACACAGCACGTCTGCTTGGGCGTGAGGCTGTGAGAGGAAGAGGCCCAGGCCTCGGGCTCAAGGGATCAGCAGGTGGGTGGGCGTACAGGAGCCTGGGGGCCGGCCTGGCCTGGAGAAGGTCTCTTGGTGAGGCCCCTCGGGAGGCTCTTAATCCTGCCCCGTCTCCAGCGGGCACCTGGGAGGGCGTGGGCCCCGGCACCTCAGGCTCGCCCCTCTCTCCCCAGCGAGGGCAGCATCATCGCCTACTACTGGTCGGAGTTCAGCATCCCCCAGTACCTGGTGCAGGAGGCCGAGCAGGCCATGGCGCAGGAACACGTGGTCACGCTGCCGCCCCGAGCCCGCGCCGTGAGCTCCTTCGTGCTGACCTCAGTGGTGGCCTTCCGTGAGTGCAGGGGCGCCGGGGCGGGCATCCCAGGGCCAGTGCCCAGGAGAGGAGACTGCCTGCTGGCCGGCCCCTCCCTTTAGGGCAGTAAGGAAGCAGGAATACGAAAATAGACACATCAGTAAATGCTTTACTCTCCCTCTTGCTCTTCAGCCACTGACCCCAGAACAGTACAGAGCACCCAGGACAGTAAGTATCCGTCCTCCTCCCAAAGGAGAGGCGGGGGGTATGTGGCCAGATGCCCCTTCAGTCAGGGGGGTCCCCCAGAGTCACATGGTGGTGATGGCCAGCACATCCCTCTGCCTCTCCCGGGCCATGAGAAGCCCCCTTCCCAGTCTCTCCCGGGTCCAGAGCAGCCTGGGACGCCTCAGAGGGGCCAGGTCTGGCTGCCTCTCCACCTCAGGCGGGGGTCCTGGTTGCTCCCCTCGTGGCCCTGCCCAGCTCTGCCCCATATCCTCTTGCCCCACACAGACAGCTGCAGCTTTGCCCTGCATGCCCGTGGCAGCGAGCCGACCCGCTTCACCACGCCCGGCTTCCCCGACAGCCCCTACCCGTCTCATGCCCGCTGCCAGTGGACCCTGCGGGGGGACGCTGACTCCACACTGAGCCTCACCTTCCGCAGCTTCGATGTCGCGACCTGTGATGAAAGTGGCAGTGACCTGGTCACTGTGTATGACACCCTGAGCCCCGTGGAACCCCGGGCTGTGGTGCAGTGAGTGTCCCGGGCAAGTGGAGGTGGGCAGCGGGAGCCTGGCGGCTGCCCGTGTTAGGCTGGGCTTCCGGAATGACTGCAGTGGAGGCTGGAGGTTCAGGCCGCTGCCAGCTTGCAGGCAGCAGAGAGCAGGCGTGGCGTGGTCCTCGGCCCGAGCTGCAGGGGAGCATCTCAGAGGTGACTGTCAGCCTTGGCAAGGATGCTGGAGGCCCACAGGTCCCTAGATGCTGGGCACTCCTTCACCTGTCTTTTACCTGCCGGAGTGGAGGTGCCACCTGCTGTTGTATCCCTCTCCCTCTCCCTCCTCCCTCTCCCTCCTCCCTCTCCCTCTCCCTCCTCCCTCGTCCCTCCTCCCCCCTCCCCCCCCCCTCCCTCCCCCCCCCCCTCCCTCCTTCCTTCCTTCCTTCCTTCCTTCCTTCCTTCCTTCCTTCCTTCCTTCCTTTTTTTCTCTCTTTCTGTCTTTCTCTCTTTCCTCGAGACTTGTGGGATCTTAGTTCCCCAACCAGGGATTGAACCCAGGCCCTGGCAGTGGATGTGCCGAGTCCTAACCCCTGGACCGCCAGGGAATTCCTCCACCTGCTGTTGTAAATGAAGGTCTCGTTGTTACTCAGCGATAGTGAGGTCAACAGTTGAAAAGATGGGGCCACACAGGGCCATATGGGGAAGCACCAGGGTCATCAGGAGGCAGAGAGGGCTGGAGGAAAATGTGGGCAAGAGCCCTTGCTGTAGATTCTCCAGGAAAGGCAAGGCAGGGCAGGGCAGCACCTTCGGACCGGCTGGTTTGAATAACTCCAGCGGGCTCTGGGCCCTAGGGCTGTCTCCAGTCGTCTGGTACCTGGGTGATCAGGGTAGGTGGAGAGTGGCCTGGAGCAGGGGACCTCCACAGAGAAGGTGTCGGGGTGTGGGCTCTGGATTAGTTAGTCTGCATGTGAAAGTCTCGCCCCAGTCTTTACTGTCTCCGGGGATTGGCTAGCCTTGGGGCGTGGGGCTGCCTTTCCAGGTCAGCAAGCCCCAGGTATCAAAGCATTGAGGTTATAGTAAATAAAAAGGCATAGATAGCAGGTACACACTACTATATATAAAATAGATAAACAAGGACCTCCTGTAGAGCACAGAGAACTATTTTCAATATCGTGTAATAATCTACAATGGAAAAATCTGAAAGAGACTATATCTACGTATAACTGAATCACTTTGCCGTACACCTGAAACATTGTAAATCAGCTGTACTTCAATTAAGAAAAGGCATACTGCACCTGCTGAGGGTGCCGAGGTGAATCGGAGGCTGCCGGTGGGGGTGACCTGCCTTCACTCGGCTCCCCCTGCCGCTCCCGACTCAGTGGACCAGAGCCTCCCACTGCTGCCTGTGGAAATGAGCCGGGCACATGTTTCACAGCTAATAAGGTCTAAACTTCAGGCCCAAACCAGGAGGGAGCCATCTGCCGCCACAGCTTCACAGCCAGGACTTCGGTCTAAACACCCTTTTCATGCAGGGTTTCTTTCTGTTTCTCTAACTGATTGACTGTACAACAAATGAACACCTGGTCCTGGGCGGCAGGGTGGAGAACAGACAGGCACGAAGAGGACAGACGCCACTCATAGTCTTCCTATCTGGAAATAATCACTGTTAAATGTGTGTTGCACATTCTTATAGAATTTTTTGCTATGTGTATGTTTGTGTATTTATTTTTAAAAAAGGGTTGTGTGGCACACGTGGTCTTGTTATGTGCTTTGTAAAGATGGCGTATGTTAGGGTCATCTTCCCAGGTGAGTAGCGTGTCTCTGACTGTCACTGGTAATGGCTGCAGGCTGTGGCATTGCTTAGTGCACATGACACGCTCTTTGGCCCTGAGGTCTCTGGAGCCTGAGTGCTGAGTCTGAATTTCAGGCCTGCCACATTTTTTTCTTTTTTCTTTTTCTTTTTTTTTTTTTTTGGCTGCACCGCACAGCATGTGGGATCTTAGTTCCCCAACCAGGGATTGAACCCATGCCCCCTGCACTGGAAGCACGGAGTCTTAACCACTGGACCACCAGGGAAGTCCCCTGAAACTCCCCTGGTGGTCCAGTGAAGTGGACCACCATTTTTTTTTTGAGGGGAGGAGATTTCTTTTCTCTATTTCTTTATTTATTGACTCTTAAATTAAAAAAAATTTTTAACTTTATTTTAATTTTATTTTTAAATTTTATATTGGAGTATAGTTGATTTACAATGTTGTGTTAGTTTCAGGTGTACAGCAAAGTGATTCAGTTATACATATACTTATGTCTATTCTTTTTCAGATTCTTTTCCCATATAGGTTATTTCAGAGTATTGAGTAGAGTTCCCTGTGCTATACAGTAGGTCCTTGTTGATCATCTACTTCATATAGAGTAGTGTGTATATGTCAATCCCAACCTCTTAATATATCCTTCCTCCCCTTCCCCCTTTGGCAGCCATAGGTTTGTTTTCTATGTATGTGAGTCTGTTTCTGTTTTGTAAATAAGTTCGTTTGTATCATTTTTTTTAGATTCCACATATAGGTGATATCGTATGATATTTGTCTTTCTCTTTCTTCACTTAGTATGGTAATCTCTAGGTCGATCCATGTTGCTGCAAATGGCATTATTTCATTCCTTTTTATGGCTGAGTAATATCCCATTGTTTATATGTACCACATCTTCTTTATCCATTTATCTGTCAATGGACATTTAGGTTGCTTCCATGTCCTGGCTATTGTAATAGTGCTACTATGAACATTGGGGTGCATATATCTTTTTGAATTATGGTGTTCTCTGGATATATGCCCAGGAGTGGAATTGCTGGGTCATATGGTAGTTCTATTTTTAGTTTCTTGAGGAACCTCCATACTGTTCTCCATAGTGGCTGCACCAGTTTACATTCCCACCAACAGTGCAGGACGATTCCCTTTTCTCCACACCCTCTCCAGCATTTCTTGTTTGTAGACTTTTTGATGATGGCCATTCTGACTGGTGTGAGGTGATAGCTCGTTGTGGTTTTGATTTGCGTTTCTCTAATAATTATCGATGTTGAGCATCCTTTCATATGCTTTTTGGCCATCTGTATATCTTCTTTGGAGAAATGTCTATTTAGATCTTCTGCCCATTTTTGGATGGGGTTGTTTGGTTTTTTTGATATTGAGCTGCATGAGCTGTTTGTATTTGTATATTTTGGAGATTAATCCCTTGTTGGTCGCATCGTTTGCAAATATTTTCTCCCATTCTATGCGTTGTCTTTTCGTTTAGTCCTGCCACTTATTAACTGTGCAGTCTTGGGTAAGTTACTTCACCTGTTTTGCCTCTGTTTCCTTATCTGTAAAATGGGGATAATAGTATTTAATGGTTGTTGTGACGAATACCTGAGTTAATGGATACAGAAGCACTAAGGACAGTGCCTGGTGTGTTCCTAGTAAGTGTTGGTAGTTGATGCCGTTACTACTGCTGTTGTTGCTATTATTTGGTCCATAGTGTGTTTAATGAGTCCTCTACTGTTAGGCATTCAGTGTTTCTGAGTTCTTGCTGTTATAAACAGAGACAGTCTTTTGAGGAGATCCTTACTCAGGTAGCTGGTTGCCTGTGTGGGGAGGGCTTTGGGACCCCACTCTCGGCCCCTCTGCTGGGTTCTGTGCTCTCATAACGCCCGCCCTTCTGCCCCGCAGGCTGTGTGGCTCATACCCTCCCTCCTACAACCTGACCTTCCTCTCCTCCCAGAACGTCCTGCTCGTCACGCTGGTGACCAACACCGAGCGCCGACACCCCGGCTTCGAGGCCACGGTCTTCCAGTTGCCTCGGATGAGCAGTAAGGGGCAGCCCAGGAGGGGACAAGCCTCAGGACCACATTGACGCTCAGGCTCTCCTGGTCATGGAGTGTCTGGGGCCCAGGCAGGAGCTTGAGGGAGGCTGGCCAGCTCCTCAGGGCTCTCGGCCTGCCTGGGCCCTTGGTCCTCACGCCCTCCCCCCTCCCCTTCCTTTCAGGCTGTGGAGGCGACTTGCATGCAGCCCAGGGCACATTTAGCAGCCCCTACCATCCAGCCCACTACCCGCCCAACATCAACTGCACCTGGAACATCGAGGTAGGAGCTGTGATGGGGGGGCGGAGGCGGCTAGAGAAGGTGGGGGGGACAAGGGACAGGGAGGGGGAGGGAGGGGGAGGGATGCTCCAGGAGCAGGAGAAAGCACGATGAGTGCCTCCGGCCTCCCCTAAGGTGCAAGTATGGAGGCCGCAGGCGGGGCAGGTCCGGGCAGCATCCAGCAGACCCGGGCTCACACCCGCCTCCTGGCCGGCGCCTGACGTGACGGAGGGAGCTGAGCCCGGGACTTTCCTCTCTGGCCGTGGCTCGCTCTGGGCAACGTGAGAGCAGGGGCGCCGGCCTCTTAGAGGAGCCGTTGCGACGAGGCCAAAGGCTGAGTGACACTCAGAGGACGCGCTTGCTGGACGGCAGGAGACAGGCGTCTTGCCGACGGGGCACCTCACGCCGTCCAGTCGATGATGGGGGAGGAATTTCCAGCCTTCTTTAGTAACGTAATAGTGTGTCTCGCTGTTTGCAAGTCTGGAAGGTCTTCCAAGCATGGAGCCCGGATCCCTCCTGCCACGTCCTTACTGCCCCCGTGGGCCGGAGGGAAGAACCCGGCAGCCGTGCTCCCGCCATGGTCCTGGCCCCGTGGCTGCCACGGGCCACCCCGGACTTAGGAAGGAGCGAAGCCGCACAGGGGGTCAGCAGCATCTCTCTCCCCAGGTGCCCGACAACCAAAATGTGAAGGTGCACTTCAAAGCCTTCTTCTTGCTGGAGCCCAACGTCCCTCTGGGCTCCTGCTCCAAGGACTACGTGGAGATCAACGGGGAGAGGTGGGTGTCGGGGGAGGGGGAGGGGGGCTGCCCCAGCCCCGGGGCGGGTCCTCTTCCTCCCGCTGAGGCCCCTGCCGCCCCCAGGTACTGTGGCGAGAGGCCCCAGTTTGTCGTGAGCAGCGGCAGCAGCAAGATCACCGTCCACTTCCACTCGGACCAGTCCTACACGGACACCGGGTTCCTGGCCGAGTACCTGTCCTACGACGCCAGTGACCGTGAGTGACACGCTCGGGAGGCGGGGCCTGGCTGGAGGGCGGGCCCGCGATGAGCTCTCTGTTCTGCATTTTATTAGCGCTGTGCTCTCCTGACTCTAGGCCACCGGAGCCGGTAGGATGCATTATCAGTTGCTGTAGTAGCTTTCTGCGGGGGGGAAAAAAAAGGCTACCTTAGATGCACTTGTGAAAAAAGGCCGACAGTGAATGCCGGCACACACCGTGTCCTTTGGTCCCCGGGTGCGGCATCTCAGGCCGAGGACCCCCGAGTTCCTTTGGTCTATTGTCCCTATGGTTCTGCATCACTTTGAGAATCTGTGCTTGTCTGTGTGTGTCTTTGAGCACCTATAGGATTAACAGCATGCTTTTGAGACACATTAGAACATACTGGGGCTTGAGTCATCACACTAACTACTCCTAGCTTTGGAAATTCTGTGATCTCTACGGAAGAGGTCTGGCAGTTTCCGTGACCTTTAATTTCACTGTCCGCTGTGAATACCAGTTCTTCCACGTCCATGGTGATTATTTTGTTTCCACCCTGCATCCTAGAATAACCTTTTGGAAGTCACTTTTACTGCACACAAACGTCCAAATTTAAGTTCAAATTCAACTACACGACTCACCGCCAGAAGTGTAATTAGATGAACAAACCACTTTGTTAAGTGACTAAGCTACCTGTGCGGAAAAGTGACAACGGCCTCCTCTCCATTTTGTTATCTGCCTGATGACATCAGTTGTCAGACACATTCCAATTTCAGAAACATCGGAATGTGGAAAATGTCTTAGAATTAAGGGAAGCCGGTGATGCCGTGTGACAGTAGGGTGGGACACATCAGCCGTCTGCAGAGCTGCTGCTGCTGCGACTTGCCGACGGGGAGCCTGGCGCTCGGGGATGTGGCTGACCAAGGACACGGGGCAGTAGAACTGCATGCGCACCCGCCAGCCTCTCTCCACTCTGCCCGGGGCTTCCCGGGGTTTGGTCATGGGGGGAGGGGGAGCCCCTTGTCACAGCCCCTTGTCACAGCTCAGCGGACCTGGAGACCCCCAGCTGCAGCCTCGCTCCTCTGAGCTGGAGGCGGGGCTGGGGGTCGTGGACTTGAGGCCTGCCCTGTCTCTCTGCAGCGTGCCCGGGCAGGTTCATGTGTAACACAGGGCGGTGTATCCAGGAGGAGCTGCGCTGTGACGGCTGGGCTGACTGCACCGACCACAGCGACGAGCTCCACTGCCGTGAGTCGGGGCTGCCAGACCCGGGCATCCTCTGCCCTTGCTGTGCCCGACTTCTGCCACCGACCCTGCGGCGGGATGGCCCGAGGCGGTGGGGGAGGTTGTTCCCGGCCCGGGGCAGACGACAGGCCGCCTTTCCTCGGGCTCCTGGGGGCCCCCTTTGGAGCAGGCGGTGCTGAGTCAGCTTCCACAGCCAGGCAGGACGTGGTCCCCAGGAGCGCGGTGCCCCAACTCCTGGGAAGAGCGGGTGCTGAGTGAGCCTCGTGTCTAACTGCAGCCCCTCTCCCCTCCAGAATGCAACGCCACCTACCAGTTCACGTGCACAGACAAGCTCTGCAAGCCCCTCTTCTGGGTCTGTGACTCCGTGAAGGACTGCGAGGACGGCAGTGATGAGCAGGGCTGCAGTGAGTGGGGCGGGGGGGTGGCGGCTGGGCTCCCCGCGGCCCTCTGCTGACCCGCCAGCCCCTGCTGAGTCCTCGCACTTCCCCAGGCTGCCCGCCCGAGACCTTCAAGTGTAACAACGGGAAGTGCCTCCCGCAGAGCCAGCAGTGTGACGGGAAGGACAACTGTGGGGATGGGTCCGATGAGGCCAAGTGCGACCACGGTGAGGCCAGGCCCCGCCCCCTTCCCTTGGGCGCTTGCCTGCCACACTCACGTGCAGCGGGTCCAGAGTTCAACACACACAGACCGCCCTGCACACTGAGTGTGCGAGAAAGGGTGTTGGCTGGGCATGGGTGCGGATGAGGGGGCAGGCCCAAGAGGGGCGTGAGGGGGAGGGACCATCAGCCTGGGTGCGGGAGAGAGATTGATTCCCTCCCCCTGCGTCCTCCTCCGTGAGCAGTGAGCACCGTCACCTGCACCAAACACACCTACCGCTGCCTCGACGGGCTCTGTGTGAGCAAGGGCAACCCCGAGTGTGACGGGAAGAAGGACTGTATCGATGGCTCGGATGAGAAGGACTGTGGTGAGCAGGGCTGCCGCATACAGTTGTGCAGGTTGTTCACTGTGAAGGGCGCGTACGGAGGTGGGCATTATGTCAGCGCTTCACTCACCCAGCTCTGCCCTGGTGAGAGGGTGTGTCTGCCTGGAGGAAAGGATAACTTTGCTGATTGGCACCCAGGCACTGCCTCACAGGCAGTTCTGGTCCTGGAGGCAAGGCCCAGGGCAGCTAGTACGTCAGGGCCTCGGTGGCAGGGCTGGTGTCCTGGCCGCGGTGCTGGGCTGACCCCCGCTCTGTAGACCTGGCCACAGGGGCAAGTCCTGGAGCCCTCGGCAGGGTTTTGTCCCCACCCCGCCCATACTTTAATTTGCAGCCTCTTGTGTATTTCAGAAGCGCTGGCCGTAGGTTACGTGTGAGCAGAGCAGCAGCTGTTCTGTGACTTCACGTCACCCATCGCTCTTCCCTCAGAGCTGTGTCCTTCCGCATGCAACAAGAAAGTCTGGGCAAATGACACCCAAATTAAATCTAAGCAAACCATCAGATGTCTGAAGGCCCCTGTGCAGGAGCGGGAGGTGGGGAGTGAGGGTTTTGAATTTGGGGGCAGGGAGAGAGGCCAGGTGGCTGCCCTGGCTGCTGCTTCGGTGGCGGGGCTGGTGCCCCACTGTGACTCCCGTCTCTGCCCCTCCCAGACTGTGGGCTGCGGTCATTCTCCAGGCAGTCTCGGGTTGTCGGGGGTGAGAACGCGGACGAAGGTGAGTGGCCCTGGCAGGTGAGCCTCCATGCCCGGGGCCAGGGCCACGTGTGTGGGGCTTCCCTCATCTCCCCCAGCTGGATGGTGTCTGCCGCCCACTGCTTTGTCAACCACAGAGGATTCAGGTACGCCATGGGCCGGAGCGGGGAGGCCTCGTGCCGGCCCTAAGTGGGGCGCCCCTCCATGTTTCCTGGGGTGGAAAGGCCCTGTGTCTGTGAGTCGTGCCCAGGTGAGGCAGGGCCGGGACTAGAGGGGTGGCAGACCCCCTAGGATGGGGCTTAATAACAGAAGTAATAAAAATGAGTGTTTATTGGGTGCCCCTCTTGTCCAGCGGGATCTCAGTGCCTCTCCTAACAGCCCAGGCAGACAGGTCTGAACACGTCCCCGTTTTACAGAAACGGAGGGTCAGAGAGGTAAGGACATTTGCCTGAGGTGGTACAGCTTTTAAGAGGCAGAGCCAGACTGGGGCCCATGTGTGTGGATTCCAGAGCCGGTGCGGTCAGCCTCTGCACGGTGGAGACCCCTCGGGACCCTTTCATTCACCGCCTGGCCCTGGCTTGCCAGGCCACTGTGGGCGAGTTATTCACCTTCCTAGGCCTCAGGCTCCTGGGTGCTGATGGTGACGCTGTGATTTTTACGCTGAGAGGTGTGAGAAGGGAGCGCAGGGACGCACCTGAAGCGCTGAGCCCGTGCCTGGCGCACAGTAGGTGCTCAGCCCATCGTAGCCTCAGGTCCATGGCAGACCCGAGCCCGGTGCAGGGAGGGGCACCAAGCATGCCACTGGGCCATGCCGGCCTCTCAGGGCGGGTGGGCAGGGCCAGGCTTAGCAGGAGCAGGTGGCCCAGCGCCGGGGCTCTTTCTGACTTAGGTCCAGCCCGCCCAGGCCCTCTGGCCATTGGCTGCGGGAGGGGGACTGAGGGGACAGCTTGCTCCTGGAGACTCGGGCACAGGGGTCCCCCTCACCCAGGGCCTTCCTGCCGGGCGCCTGCCCTCCTGCCACGGGCAGCTGCGTGGGAAGGGGACCCAGGGTGCCACGGTCGCCCCTTGGCCAAGAGAGAGCGGGACCACCATGGACTTCCGGGACAGACAGGACCCATAGCATGATGTAGGCCTAAGGCCAGACACTGGGGCCGGTCAGACAGGTGCACATGCTGAGGATGATGTAACAGCAGAGGCTTGGGGGGAGTGGGGTCAGTGGTGGACCCCGGGCGCTGCTGGGCTGGTGAAGTGCAGCCTGGTCCAGCCTGTCCCGCTCTTCTCACTGTGTCACACTCCACTCCACTCTGGGCAGAAGCGACCTGCTTTCTTCTTGGGGTGATGGGAGCTTACTTCAGAATTTTTAGAATGAACTTATCATTCTGGAGCGTGGACAAGTTGCAAAGATAGGACGCAATTTCCCCATACCCCCGCCCAGTTTCCCTTGATGTTATCATGCTGCCGGTCCCTTACTAGGAACTTGCCTCCGGGCTGCCTCGGGGCTCCCCCCCAGGCTCCCTGGCACCGGTTTCACACCAGCATCCTTTCTGCTGCAGGAGTTTGTCCAGGTGCCCCCTTTGTGTCTGTTGTCCTGTCCCCCCAGTCTCCTCTGGTCCGGGACGATTTCTCAGTCTTTGTGTGTTTTTTGTGACCTGGACAGTCTGGAGGCCAGGGGCCCTGTAGAGTGCCCCCATCTGGATGCATCTGAGGTTGTTCTCGTGATTAGACTGGGGTCATGAGTGTTTGGAAGAAAGTCACGTTGTATCAGCAGGTAAATGATGTCAACGTGGCTTATCTCTGGTGATACTCAGCTCATGTCGGTCATCTGGTTAAGATGGTGATGACTGCTCTCTCCACTCGGAAGTGTTTCCCCCTTCTGTACTCTATTCTTTGAAAATGAGTCAGTGTGGAATTGCTTTGTAAGGAAGCTTTGTCCCTCTCTCCTGTGTATTTATTTAATCATCTATTTATGTTTGTAGGGACTCGTGCATATATTTATATTTCGGGTTGTAATCCAATACCGTGTTGTTTACTGTCGCTAGATTATTCCAGAGCCGACCACTGAGAGCTCTCCAGGCTGGCGCCCGGCTCCCTAGGACATGCCCCCATTCTTCTGTTTTTCTGAGCCACCTCCTTGCTTTCGGACACCACCTGGTACTCTAGGCTCATCCTGTATTTTCCTGGTCCAGCCCTAGAACTAGGCATTCTGTGAGAAGAAACCAAGATCTGGGTCCTCTGCACCCACACAGCCGCCACAGTCCCCGTTCCTAGCCCCGTCTGCAGGGTGAGCTGGGATGTGCGTGGACTTCCTGAAGCACCTGCCCCTGGGCCCTGCCCGGCTTCTTCCTCTTTCCCTTGCTTCACCTTTTCATTTCTCATTTCCTTTTCCTTCATCTTCTCCTGCTCAGCAGTCTTACTTCTGCCCATTAATGCCCTCAACAGCCATTGCTACCATTGGCACCGGGAGAGAAAGCTGAATTAGACTTGGTCCCTGCACTTCCAGACGTCCCAGGGTAGGGGGACAAGTTGCCATACACATGCGCACGTAGTACGGGCTGTGCCAGAGCTGGGGGGAGGCTGCCGAGGGCCCAGTGTGTGGGTTAGAGCTCCCCTGAGTGCTGGGGAGGGTGGCTGCTAGGAGTGCCTTTATGGGCAGGGTGTCTGGTCTGCTGTTGAAACGTGAGGGTGTTTGTCAGTGGACCAGGTGACTCAGACCTTCCAGACAAAGGGAGGGTTGTGAGCAGGGACAGGCAGGGAGGAAGTGTGCCAGGACCTGGAGTGCAGGTACTTTGGACACATTTCTGAGTCAGCAAGCGATCAGCAAGGGTGTTACCGAGAGGTGGCATCTCATGGTCAAGGGCATGGGCTGCTGGGTTCAGACGGTTGGCCCAAGACCACCTTGACTGGCTGGGGGATAAGAAGACGTAACACGTCGGGCGCCAGAAGAGTGCTTGGCGTGGTCGGCTGTGTCGACCTCTGCCTTTCGCCTTAGGTCTTGACGGAATGGCCGGGGTTTATCTGCAGGTGTTTCTTTGCCGCCATCTAACCCATCGCTGCTGAGTTGCCTCTTAACGCTTGGGCCTTCACCATTCTTTCTGTGTTTGCCGTCCAGCTGATGTGCTTGTGACGATGCAGCACAGGGATGTCACCAGTCGGCTCGACATGACCAGCTTTGGGGCTTTTTTTTCTCCAAGAGGTCCTTCATGACCTTGTGGAGTTTTCACACTGTGTCTTTTCTTGTCCTGCTTTTGTTTCTCTTCTTTGTCTTCTGGAAGTTCCAGGCCCTCTCTGGTGACTGACACTGAAGTCTTCTCAGATTCCTTCTGCTGTCGGACACAGTACTCATCGGCGAGCTCGAGCACACAGATCACTGCTAAGCTGTGCTTCACTAGACGTTCACGTACCCCTTTCTGAGCCATTTCCGAGTTAGGCGCAGCCATCGTGGCACGTCTTCCCCGAGGACGGCAGGCGGCGTCTCCCAAGAACAGGGAAACCCTCCCATGTAACCACCACATGGTTATCGCATCCGGAAACGATCGCACTGACGTAGCACTGTTAGCTGGCATATGGTCCGCATTTCAGATTCCTCCAGTTCTCCCAGTATTTATAGGTTTTTTAAAAAGGTAGGATCCAGTCAAGGGATATGCTTTGTTTTAAGTCATTAGTTTTGACTCGTCTCTTTAAAATGTAGAACAGTCTCTCCCAGCCTTTTAATTTTTGTTCTTTAATGGCAGTACGTTTTTGAAAAGTCCAGGATGTTATTTTGCAGAATGTCTCTCGATCTGGTTGGTTTTGGTTGTTGTTTCATGATTAGAGTTAGGTTACATTTTTTTTTTTCTGGTCAGGAAACACTGCATAGGTGATGTGTCCTCAGGAAGTCCATAATACCCCATCAGTGGTGACGATTTGGAGAAAAGTCTGATTACTTGGTTAGGGTGGTGTCTACCAGTACTTATAAAGGTGCTTCCCCCGTTGGCTATGACTCTTGGGTGATGCTTTGAATTGGTGTGTATCTTTTTTTTTAATATTTACGTATTTATTTATTTGGCTGCATGAGGTCTTAGTTGCGGCATGCGGGATCTTCCTTGCCGCGTGCAGGATCTTTAGTTGCGGCATGTGGGATCTTTTCTTTTAGTTGCCGCACGCAGGATCTAGTTCCCTGACAAGGGGTCGAACCCGGGCCCCCTGCGCTGGGAGCGCAGAGTCTTAACCACTGGACCAGGAGGGAAGTCCCAGTGTGGCTATCTTGTTACCCAGTGGTTTTTAGCATCTGTTGATGATTCTTGCGTGTATCGGTTATTGCTGTGGTAGGTGTGAAATATGACTTATTGTGTCATTTCTTCTGTATTTATTAGCTGGTGTTTTTCTGTAAAGCACAGCTTTCCTTCTCTTCTTATAAATTATTTTGAGATTATTTTTTAGCTTCAGGATAGATTCTCCTCCGCTTCTTATATTGTTTATCCCGTATAGCGCTCTAACCCCGTAGTTTACTTTGGTGTCCATATGAGCCAGATCTTGACTAGTGAAAGCCTTGTCCTACTGGCCCCGCCCTTGGGCCAGCTCCCACTCACTTCTGGTAACACAGGATATTCCTGGTTCACTCTATGTGCTGCTTGCTCCAGACCTGAAATCAGCCACTCCTCCAAGGAGCCTTGGTTCCCTTCCATGGGGAAGGATCGTCAGAAGCCACGTTCTGTCTGCTGTTGGGGATGCCATGGCTCTGAGGCCATCATCTTTCTGAACAGCCGTGAGCTCTTCCTGCTCTGATGGCATGTCAGCAGCATGGGTTTCTTCTCTCCTCCGCCTCTGCCTGTTGGTGTCTCCCTTTTCCCACGTGGGAAACTGGGTCCCAGCAACACCAGGGTCTTGTCTTTTTACTGGTTCAGTCGTCCCATACACAGTAGTCAGAATTGCTGCACCATCCCGCTGCCGACGACAAACCTGGTGAAGTTCCATCTACTTTTCAGCTCCTCTGGTACTTAAAGTATGTACCGCTGTGTTAGAGAAGTATTTGGATTGATGTGTCCCTTCCATGGAAGGGTAGATTAATGAGAAGGGAAATCTTTTTGGTAATGAGATAAGCGAGGGCAGCTGAGCATCGTCCTGGGGTGGGCGCGGGCTCGGGTCGAGGGGCACAGGGCACGGGGCCGAGGGCGCCGGCTCAGGCCTCCCTCTCCGCCCGTCCTCCGGCCCCCGGCAGGTACTCTGACCACAGCATGTGGACCGCCTTCCTGGGCCTGCACGACCAGAGCAAGCGCAGCGCCCCCGGGGTGCAGGAGCGCCGGCTGCAGCGCGTCATCTCCCACCCCTTCTTCAACGACTTCACCTTTGACTACGACATCGCGCTGCTGCAGCTGGAGCAGCCGGCCGAGTACAGTGCTACCGTGCGGCCCATCTGCCTGCCGGACGCCGCGCATGCCTTCCCCGCCGGCAAGGCCATCTGGGTCACCGGCTGGGGCCACACGCAGGAGGGAGGTGAGCAGGGGCGGAGGTGAAGTTGGGGTGAGGGGCTGACAGCTCTGCCCGCAGTCCAACCGCTGTGGGATGGGGGGGGGGGCCTCGTGGCCGTCCTTCTGTCCCTCCCTTTATCACACGCCTTCCCAGGGTGGGTATCGGATTCCTCACCCGACAGATGGTCAGCGCGGCCTGATCACTCTGCCCTGCTGCACAGCATCCCATCCTGGAGACGTGCCCTCAGGTTTTAGCCACGTGTGGGCCGCGGGCATCCGCGCTATTTCGGGGGCTCTGCTGGTCGGGTCCCCCCGCTGACTGCCGGCCTCCCCTCCCGCCCTGGCCCCCCCTTCTGCTGCCTCCCAGGCACCAGGGCGCTGATCCTGCAGAAGGGCGAGATCCGCGTCATCAACCAGACCACGTGCGAGCGCCTGCTGCCGCAGCAGATCACCGCGCGCATGATGTGCGTGGGCTACCTCAGCGGCGGCGTGGACGCCTGCCAGGTGGGCCGGCGGGGCTGGGGGCGGCGCGGAGGGGCGGGGCGGCGGGGCTCGGTGCCAAGGCCTGGTCTCCCCGCAGGGCGATTCCGGGGGCCCGCTGTCCAGCCCGGAGGCCGATGGGCGGATGTTCCAGGCCGGCGTGGTGAGCTGGGGCGACGGCTGCGCGCAGAGGGACAAGCCAGGCGTGTACACGAGGCTCTCCGTGTTTCGGGACTGGATTAAACAGCAGACCGGGGTGTAGCGGCGAGGTGCCACCCCAGGTGCGCACGTGCGGGCTGAGGACGGGATTGCTGCCCGGACCCCCGGCTTGGCCCCCGGAACCCAGACTGGGACCTGATCCCCGAGTCTCTGGAGATGGCGACTCGCCCGCAGGCCTCTCACCCACCCCACACCCCCAGCTTCCCAAGCGCGTTCGGGGAGGGGAGGGGAGGACGCCTGGCAGTGCCAGGCCGGAGGTTTGAAGACACAGCCTTTCGGCCCTGGCGCCACGCTGGGCCGGAGGCTCTTTTCCTCGGATACAGGGAAGGCTGGCTTCGTCTGCCTCAGATATAGGACCAGCTCTTGTTTGGACTTTGGGGCCCCTTGGGCGGGGCTGGTGGGACACCACGGGCTCCCAGGGTCTCCTGCTTCAGGAAATCCAGGCCTGAGGGACCTGGAAGTCAGCCGGGTCCAAGGTTCGAATGTTTTGCCGGCTCCCAGGGCGGGGTTCAGTGTGTATATTTGTGTGTATGAGTAAAACACTTTATTTCTTTTTAGGTAATTTTTCTTTCTTACTGGAGTTGATGGGCTCCCCTAGCCCCAGCAGCAAGAAACTGGGTTTAAATTCCCCTCAGCACAGAGCCTGGAGTCAGGCTGAGAGTGGGGACCACAGTGCCCTGGACGGTCCCCAGGCCAGCACAGGGCTGTGTTTCCTCCCTTACCTGAAGCTCCCCAGACAGGGCCTGGTGCCGGGACAGGAGGGGTGGGACGGGGTGCCGCTCTCCGGGATGGGGGAGGAGCTTTGTCCTGGCGGTTTCGGTCAGGTGGGGAGATGGTCACGCGAATGCTCTGTGTGTGTGTGTGTGTGTGTGTGTACGTGCACCTGTGCGCCTGCGCTTGCACACTCGGACACGAGCGTGTGCGTGAACTCACGGCTGTCCAGCGTGGGCTGAGTGGGTGGGTCCCGATGATGCCGCCTCCCTTGAGGCTTCTCCCATGTCTAGTGCTGTCCTTCCTCCTTTGATTTTTTCCTTAGTAAATTACAGTATTCTCTCCCTTCTTGCTTGGGATGACTCAGAGGGACAGAGACGAGGATCTGGGGAGGGCTCAGGGAGTTCTTGAGAAGATGTTTGAGGGCCTTCCGTATGCCAAGGCTCTGTACGAGCTGGGGCTGGGGGATAGCAGCAGACCTAGGAAGAGAAATCAGATGGCCGTGTGAGGGAGGGTGGGTGGTCTTCGCTCATTGCTGTATCGCCAGCTCAGCTCCTAGAAGATGCTAACACATATTTGTTGACTGAATGGTCTTTGCTCTCTATGTGTTTTGGAAACCAAAGGGAACAATCTGGGCAGACTTCCTGGAGGAGGTGAGCTGCCTCTTTCATTTTAGCCTGAGGGCCTTACCCTCTGGAAGGAGGGAGAAGTTTTGTCTTGACAGCTGTGCAAGCATCCACATTGGGTTTTCCTTCCAGGGAAGGGAAAGGGTATCATTTTTGCCCAGGTGTGGGGAGTAGGAGAATGAAGGTGCTGTCAGAAGACCCTGTGCAGATGGTGCCGAGTGTACATACCTGGTGTGTAGGGAGAGGCTTCACTTGTGGTCTGGTTCCCAAGGGTGAGAGCCCCTCAGGCAGCCAGGCCTGGCCTGTGCCTACCCACAGCACCACTCTCCTGTCGGCACCTGACATGGTCCAGAAGACGCTCTCCCCAGGTCAGAAACGCAGGCAGGGTCATGAGACGACTTCACTGTCCCCTAAAGGCACAGGGGCTCCCTCTCCACAGCCCTCTGTCCCAGTCTATGGTGGTTTCTCAGCCTCATTGTTATCCTCCTGGGGCCCTTTGGGGTCACCCCGCTGCCTCAGGGGTCTCACCGGCATGTCCGGGCTGGGACTGGGCAGGTCATCCAGGACAGCGTTCCCACAGCGTGGCCCTGGGGCCAGGAGCATCCGCACCACCTGGGGCGTCGCAGAGACTCAATTCTCACACTTCACCCAGACCTCCGGCATCAGAGGTTCTGGGAGGCGGGGCGCAGCCGTCTGCTTTAACAAGCCTTCCGGGTGATTCTGACGAACCACAGGGCTAAGAGCATCCGCATCTCTGAGTGCCCACCAGGTGCCCGGCACTGCGCTTTGCAGGCGTGTCCTGCGGTCCTGGCAGGGTCCTGGAAGCCACAAACATTTGACACCTGGAAACCGAACAAAGCATCAGTGCCTTTCAAAAGACTGTGGAGCCAAATCCAGCGTTACTTCTGACCACAGATAAGAATCGGCTAAGACTCCTTAGCTAGTGGGAAGTCAGTCTCGTCTTCGAGCTGTAATGAAGACAGAGGCCCGAGCACAGTCAGGGCTGACGACAGGAGTGACAGCCGGCCCGGGTCTGCTCCTCTCTGCCGAGGGCAGCGGCGCCGGCACCAGCCCTGAGCCACCGCCTCAGCTTCCCGCACCCGGGTGCAGGCCTGGGGAGAGACTAGTGACCAAAGCTGTTCCGCACACATTTTCATGTCCAGTTCAAGAACTCCAGCTCCAAGTGTGTGAGCAAGTTCAGTTCCGCCCGTGCAGCCTGCTGTGGCCGCAGCTAGGCCCACGACGGTGCAGTGCCGTTCGTGTGACCGCACCCAGGCAACCAGGCAGCGCTGCCCCAGGCAGGCACACGGGCCTGTGCACAAGGCGCTGCCTCGGCTTCATGCTCTCTGTTGCCTTCGGTTGGGTCCCCACAAAAGCTCAACGAACCACTGTGAGGCCTTTTCCCGACTGACTAGCCTGTTCTAGTTGCTAGGGTCTTGCCATCTCTCTGGTCCCCAAACTACCCTGCGTCTCACTTGTTTTAGCCACCAATCACAAGCATTAAAATGGAAGTTCAGTCAGTGTTTCATCCTATTTCGTGGACAGGGATCTGATCCAGACCTGGATCCTGCAGGAGGAACAGTCTGCAGGGACCCAGGGCCGGGGTGGGGGTGGGGGTGGAACCAGAAGGGCGTAGGGAAGCTGTTCAGCCACCAGGGGGCACCGCAGGGCTTCCCAGGCCGCCAGCCTCCCGGTGGCCAAGGTGCTGTCACGGGAGAGGGGCCCTCGCTGCGTAGGGTGGGGAGGTGGGTTGGGACGGACCCCAGGCCCAGCCGCTCTCGGAAGGCTGTCTCCTGCAGCTTCCAGTCCCTTCGTGCCCCATCTCAGGTGGGCAGCAGGAGGCCCCGCACCCACCCCTCCCTGCGGCAGGGGCCTGCTGGCCCTCAGGCTCTGGGACCCGGAGGATGAACATGCCCAGGGCGGGGTCAAAAGAGCTTTAGGGTTTGAGGACAGAGGTGACCAGTGGCAGGAGGTGGGTGTTATCTCCCGGAGGAGCAAGCGTGGAACGATACCCGTTACCACAGCTGACAGATGCTGCAGCCCGTGGGCAGGTACATTCTTACACACACACACACACACACCCGGTCCTGGAAACACGGCCTGGCTGTTACCACAGGACACCCTCCCTCTCTGGGGCACGTGGCATGCCCACAGATTCAATTCAGGGGGCCTCCCTCAGCTCTCTGTGATGGAATGAGGCCTCCCACTTTCCCAGGCTTGGAATCACGAGGGTGTGTGTGTTTTGCACACCTGCAGCCACACGTAAGGGAGATTGGACCTTAAAGCCGGTGTTTCTCAGACTTGAGTTTCTTGGAACACTGAAGCTCCAACATATCTACCATCTAATGAAAGAGCCACTTTACTTGTCTGATGTAAACCTCACAACAGCCCTATGGTCGTTCCCACTTTACAACAGAAAACCACGGCGCCAAGAGTGTAAGTAACCGCCCAAGGTCCCACATCTAGTCTCCTAGGACCCGGGCACCTAGGCTCTGTCCCCCATAGACTCTGTTACTCACACACCGTCGTTTCACGAGGGAAGGAACTTCTCGCGGGTAGAATGAAGGGGCCACGTTCTCAGAGACCCTGTGGGCCAGCCCCTAGGCTCGAGTCCCCCTTGCTTTGGGGAACTCCAACAGACCTGGTCACGAGGCCTCCCTGCCGTGAGAGCTATTGTCCAGGTGAGGGGTTTGCTCCAGGTGGGCAGTGCACTCATTCTCCATCTGCTTTGCCAGCCCGGGTGGGACGCCGCTGTTTACTGGGTCCCTGGGGTCCACCTGGCCCAAAGCGGGGGGGCGTTTGCATCAGCCCTCGTGCCATTTCAACTCGTCCGGTAAGGGTGATGGGCCGAGGGAGGGAAGGGGGAAGTGTCCGTTGGAAGGGGGTCCGGGCAACTGCTTTCAGGTCACCAGGCTGGGGTTCCTCAGGGTGGCAATCTGGAACAGAGCTTGGAAAGCCACCAAATACCACTCAGATGATGAGAGCAGGCCCCCAAGCAGGAATATGAACATTTATCACCTGCTTTTACGTCTTCGGGTTGACCTAGAAGATCGTTCCAACCGTTCTTCCACAAGGTGACAAACACGGCATTGACAGCGGGGAGTGAAGACGTCAGAGGGGCTTTGAGCAAGTGGTGCTTCCTCTAGGCCTGGGCGTGGACAGGCTCCTCCCTGAGGAGAGGGAGCCGCCTCTGGCACAACAGGAAAAGGGGGATCAAGGGGGACCTGGGTGCCGGCCGAGCGTGAGGGGGGCCTGGGTCCAGATTCCCTTTATGTTCTGGCTGTCCTCGCCCCCCACACCCCTGCTCCCCGCAAGAGAGATGCTGAAGAAAGAGCAGCCCTTGACTCTCAGATCAGCACTTGCACGACGCGCTGATTGCTTCTGGTCTGATATGCCTACGGTGATGACTGTATTTTGGTGAAGAAACCCCAGCTCTTCGGATTTCAGTTCATTATCTGTTTCCCCCTTTTCTTCTCCAGAGGGCTGCGCGCTCCTGTGCCATTGCCCTGCACCTGCAGCTCCGAGGCTGTTTTTCTGCCTTTTCCCTTCATCTCCAGTTGTTTCCTAAAAAGTCAGGGTCCAGAGCTGTTTCCAGGCGAGGTGGAATCAACTCCATCGTCTGGTTGTTCCGCTGCCTCAGAATCTTCCAGCGGGAGGGCTGTGTATTTTCCTGGGGTGCAAACTTAGCTTGCCCTTCCCCTTGGCTCTGTGCTTTCCTCCACCACACGCTTCCTTCACCCTGAGGTTATCACGATTTTCCCTGCCCACGCCCATGTGGTCAGGAATAACTCAGTCTCCCTGCCAGACCTCTCTTCTGGAACTTCATACAGACTTGTTTAACTCGAAAAAAAACTCTTCCACCCTTAGCCTGTGTTCTTTTTCCAAAGAGCTGCAAGTACACGGTGTGTGTGGGGGAGGGCTGGGGGACAGGAGAAGGACCAGGTCCCGAGAGGAGGGTAGGGGAGCTCTCTCCTTCCCTCTCCCTCTCCCTCCTTCTCTCTCTCTCTCTCTCTCTCTCTCTCTCTCTGTCAGACAACAGCTCCCGAAGGAAACAGGGCATCAGATACCTCTTTGAATTTCATAACCTAGGTACTGTCCAAATACTTAAAAGGACAAGAAAAATGTGTAGAAACAGACTAGAAAAAATTGAAATCTATGTTTGGAACACATGACCCTTGCAAAAAAACGGTTAAAAAATGGCTTATTTATACCAGCCAGAA